AATCCACGCCATGTTGCATTAAAAAATATTCTTAAAAAATATACTCCTTTACGCTTAACCCGCCATGACCTCACACACACACACACCCATCCCTATGTAAATATAAATTTGTCATATATATTTATTTATTTCTTGTGTTTCTTTTTTTATTTAAAGCAAAGATGTTTGATGTTGGTTATTATTTATTGTCTGATTTCATATGAATTATTATATGGTTTGATATCGACATTTCACACATGCACACTCGCACACACACACACATTGACAATTCTCTGGAATCTCGTATGAAGTCATAAAACAAGAAAGCAGAACAACAACAACAAATATTACACTTGAGTTATCACAAACGATAAATAAGCTCGAATAGAATTATGACTTTATATATGCAAGTGTGTATATATGTGTGTGTGTGTCTGTATGTATCTCAATTCATATATTTTTTAAATTTATGATTTTTGCTCACAAATTTCAAAATCATGCAAATTACATGCAGTTTTTTTGTGTTTAGATGTCTGTGTGTGTGCATTTGTAGTCATGTCTGTGGAAAAACTAATCCCTTGAAATTGTTTTGTTTCTCCCCTTCGCTGTTGTTGTTGTTGTTGTCAATTTGTCTGTCTGTCAGTATGTCCATTTGTCTGTTGAAGATAATAATTAAAAAAAAAATGTTTTATTTCAAATGCCATTTAAAATATGTACATATGAATGATTGATGGATTTTTTATTTAAAGATAAAGGTGAAATAATTTTTGTGATCGATTGTTTAAGGAAAAAATATTAAAAAAAAATCTTAAAATATTTAAAAAATATACATTTACATAGATTTAGAAATTAAATTTACATTAAAACCTAAGTAAGTTCATTCATGTTTTTAGTTTTTTTATAGCCTCCACCATGAGGTAGACATTCAAAATACCAAAAAAAATCGTTCGGAACTCTTATATGAGGACTACAACATGGGCTATAAATTGTTGCCAGTATATGAAACGAAATACCCAACCTACAGACACTGGGTCGGAAAATTGGTCTAGGACCTTGAACATACCAAAAAATCAGTAAGGAAAGTAGTAAAGTCGGACGGGCCCGACTATATGATACCCTTCACCACTTTAGATATATTCATCAGATGGATTCCTAACAGACGTCGCATTTTTGAAGGACCATTAAACATGTCATTCTGCAAACCTATACTAAATTTTGGTCAGATACAGAGTTGTTTCTTACACTGGGACAAAATTATTGGTCGGTTCCCGTACTGCAAGAACCTACGAGTTTTTACTATTTTTTAAGATATCATAAAGGAAAAAAGTGTTATCGTAGTAAAAAATAGTAGATTCTTGCGGTACGGGAACAGGCCATATGTAAATACATTTAAAGCAAAATATCGAAATCTAAATCGATTTCATCGAAACTTGTCACATGTTAGATGACACTTATTTCAGTATGTTTTGAGCATTCGGCCACATTGTGAGTTCTTCATTTACTTATAAATCCAAATTTCGGGCAAATCGAAGGACATATAGGGACTTTGGTGCACCATTTACCTAAAAGCAGACGAAAATATATATGGGAGCTATATCTAAATCTGAACCGATTTTCACAAAATTTAACACACATCGTCCTAGACTTAATTCAGTACGCTGTGCCAAATTTCGTACAAATCGAAGGATATATAGGGACTTTGGTGTACTATTTACCTAAAATCGGAAGAAAATATATATGGGAGCTATATATAAATCTGAACTGATTTTTCCCAATTTCAATGGGGTTCGTCCTTGGGCCACATAAATGAGCTGTGCCAAATTTCATCCAATTCGAATCAAAAATGTGACCTGTACTTTGTTTACAATTGAACATGGACAGACAGACGGACGGACATGCTGAAATCGACTTAAGAAGTGATTCTATGCATATTCTCAAAAGGAATACATTATTTATTCACCAAGGTCCCGGAATATCAAATTTCAGCTACTTCCAAAATATATTATTTTGGTTGTGAAATGCGTCTATGACCATTAAAATACCTTTATATGGCGGGCCTACACCCAAAAATCGTTCGATGCCGATAATTTTTTGGTAGCAGAGAACTTAAATATCAATGAGAATCTAAAATATCAAATTACAGCCACTTTGGTTGAATAGCATCCCCAAAATCCTTAAAATACAAAAAATGAGGGTTCCGATATATGAGGGCTAGACCAGAACCTTAACCGATATTTATAATTTTTTTGAGAAAGATTTGGTAGCCAAAGAGAACCTGAAATACCGCTACATGGGGGTTACTCCCCAATTACACTTGGGCCAATATTGATAATTTGTGGTAGTGATATTTGGTATCCGCTGATAAAAAAATACCAACTTATTGCTACTTCGGTTGGAAATCGGGTCTAAAATTCTCAAATTATCGAAATTTATGGGTTCCGCTATATAGAGACTATACCCAAATATGGGCCGATATTGATCATTTTTGCTAGAGAGATTTGCTACCAAAAGAGTACCCAAAATACCAGGTGACAGTTGATTCGGTTAATAAATATGCCCAGAATTCTCAAAATATCGAAAATTAGGACTTCCGCTACATGGGGGCTACACCACCCCCCCCCCCAAACTTGCGCCAATATTGATAATTTTTGCTAGAGAGATTTGGTACCCAATGAGAACCCAAAATACAAAATTACACCCGTGTCCTAAATTCTCAAAATGCCAAAAAATTGGCGTTCCGCTATATGGGGACTATACTTAAATATACGCCGACATAGATAAATTTTTGCAAGTAAGATTTTCTACCTAAGGTGAACCCAAAATACCATATTACAGCTAATTCGGTGGGAAATCGGTGCCCAAATTTCTAAAAAATACCGAAAATTGCTTGATCCGCTATATGGAGGCTACTCCGAAACATGGTCCAATATTAATCATTTTTACTAGAAAGATTTGGTATCCAGTGAGAATTCAAAATATCAAATTACAGCCAATTCGGATGGAAATTGTGCCCAAAATTCTCAAAACACCGAACATATGGGGTTCCGCTACACGGGGGCTACCCCGAAACTTAGGCCAATATTAATCATTTTTCGAAGTAAGATTTGGTGCCCAATGTGAATCCAAAATATCAAATTACAACCACTTTGGCTGGGAAACGTGTCTAAAATCTCCAAAATACCGAAAATTAGGAGTTCCGCTAGACCGAACATAGGCAGTTCCGCCCCTAAAGTTGGGCCAATCTTGATCATTTTTAGTGGAAAGATTTGGTACCCATGGAAATCGAAAACTACCACATTACAGCTTATTCGATTGATAAACGTTCCCAGAATTCTCAAAATTCCGAAAGTTAGGAGTTCCGCTATATGGGGACTATAACCAAAAAAGATTTGCTACCCAAGGAGAACCCTAAATAGCAAATCAGAGACAATTCGCTTGGAAAACGTGTTCAAAATCCCTAAAATACCAAAAATCGGAAGGTAACGTTATATGGGACCTACAACGAAACTTGATGCAATATTCACAATTTTTTATAGGATGATTTGGTACCCAATGAGAAACGAAAATACCAAATTACAACCAATTCGGTTGGAAAACGTAGCCAAAATCCTCAAAATACTGAAATTTGGAGGGTACCCTTATATGGGGGCTACCCTGAAATATGGGTTAATTTTGATCATTTGTGGTAAAAACATTTGCTACCCAAGGAGAACCCAAAATACTAACCTTCAGCCAATTCGATTGGAAAGGCCTTGTAGGTCCTGAAAAAATATTCTTTTAAAAATCCACGCCTCTTGTAGGTCCTGAAAAAATATTCTTTTAAAAATCCACGCCTCTTGTAGGTCCTGAAAAAATATTCTTTTAAAAATCCACGCCTCTTGTAGGTCCTGAAAAAATATTCTTTTAAAAATCCACGCCTCTTGTAGGTCCTGAAAAAATATTCTTTTAAAAATCCACGCCTCTTGTAGGTCCTGAAAAAATATTCTTTTAAAAATCCACGCCTCTTGTAGGTCCTGAAAAAATATTCTTTTAAAAATCCACGCCTCTTGTAGGTCCTGAAAAAATATTCTTTTAAAAATCCACGCCTCTTGTAGGTCCTGAAAAAATATTCTTTTAAAAATCCACGCCTCTTGTAGGTCCTGAAAAAATATTCTTTTAAAAATCCACGCCTCTTGTAGGTCCTGAAAAAATATTCTTTTAAAAATCCACGCCTCTTGTAGGTCCTGAAAAAATATTCTTTTAAAAATCCACGCCTCTTGTAGGTCCTGAAAAAATATTCTTTTAAAAATCCACGCCTCTTGTAGGTCCTGAAAAAATATTCTTTTAAAAATCCACGCCTCTTGTAGGTCCTGAAAAATATTCTTTTAAAAATCCACGCCTCTTGTAGGTCCTAAAAAAATATTCTTTTAAAAATCCACGCCTCTTGTAGGTCCTGAAAAATATTCTTTTAAAAATCCACGCCTCATGTAGGTCCTGAAAAATATTCTTTTAAAAATCCACGCCTCTTGTAGGTCCTGAAAAATATTCTTTTAAAAATCCACGCCTCTTGTAGGTCCTGCAAAAATATAGTCTTTTAAAAATTCACGCCTCTTGTAGGTCCTGAAAAAATATAGTCTTTTAAAAATCCACGCCTCTTGTAAGGTCCTGAAAAAATATTCTTTTAAAAAATCAGGCCAGGCCTTTTGTAGGTCTTGAAATAATATTCTTTTAAAAATCCACGCCTCTTGTATGCCCTGAAAAAGTATGACTTTAAAAAATCCACGTACCCAAGATTTTAGTTTAAAATCTCTTCTAATTCTCAAATTGTTTTCTCTCTTCTCTTTCCAGCCGTACTCCACAACTCCATGAATGCCAATAACTTCAAAACGCAACCCTCCATCCAGCACCCTAAGATATCTACTACCCCACTGCACAATAATAATAATCCAAAACAACAGCAACAACAACTGTGATTCTTAGAGAGCGAAAGAAAAACTCTACACTTCGTAATAAGAGCTCACATGCGGTACACCGAAAACAAAATGGACAAATTCTATACACTTGTATTAGCAGCACTAATTGTGACGACGCAATGTCCAATACCCACACATACACAAATGTTAAATGGTAAGTGGGGAGGAGGTTTTTTTCTTTATATTTAATTTTTTTGTTAATATTTTTTTATTCGTTTGTAGAACCAAATATGCAACTCGATCCAGATCCCGAATTTATTGGCACCATCAACAATGTTACATTTCCAGCAGGGCGGGAGGCCATATTGACCTGCTCTGTGAGAAATTTGGGCAAGAATAAGGTAATTGAAGGATTTTTTATTGTCTATTAATACTTTAAACACGATGATTAAACAGCGGACATGAAAAACCATCATTAAGTTCGGCAGGGCCAAACTTTCTATAACCTCCACTATGGATATTAAAAATATCTCAAATCGATCGGCATTTTTATATGGGTTCTTGCCATGGTAAATTGCTGCCAGGAGAAAACGAATTACCAACCTACAGAACTTCAGGTTGGAACTGTTGGGCTAGGACCTTGAAGATGCCGAAAAGTGGCACATGGTCTTCGTAATAGAAATATGGTCTTATATTTGAAATGGTTCGCGAAGAAGTTTTTTTTACCTCCAATGAACTGTTATAGAGCCACTTCCTAATCTTTAAATCACCAGCAATTGAAAGGTACCTTTATATGGTGGGGGCTATCCTCAAATGTAACAGGTTAGGGTAACCACCATAGAGAGGAGGTACCTTCCGAATTTCGTTATTCTGAGGAAACGAATTGGTATTTTGGTTTCTCATTGGGCTGTAAATCTTTCCACAATAAATTATAAATATCGGTCCACTTTTTTAAGTAGCCCCTCCATTTAAAGGTACCCCCAAGGTGCCGGTATTTTGAGGAGCTTGAACACATTTTTCAACCTAATTGCCTCTTTTTTGATATTTTGGGTTCGCATTGGGATCTTTCCACCCAAAAATTATCAATATGGGTCCACTTTTTATGGTAGTCCCCATATAACGATTCCCCATAATGTCGGATAATATAAGGGTACCATAATATAAGGGTACCATCAAATTTTCAGTATTTTGAGGAGCTTGAGCACTTTTTTAACCGAATTGACTGCAATTTGGTATTCTGGGTTCGCACTGAGTACCACACTTTCCTACCAAAAATTATTAATATTGATCCACTTTTTGGGGTAGCTCCCATTTAAGGGTACCTTCCGAATTTCGTTATTCTGGAGATTTTGAGCACCCTTTTCATCCGAATTGGCTGTAATTTGATATTTTAGATTCACATTGGGTAGCAAATCTTCCTACCTAAAAATTTCAATATCGGTCCCTATTTTTGTATAGACCCCATATAAGGGTACCCTCAAATTTTAAATATTTTTTTTAAGGAATTTCCGATTCGTTTTTCAACCGAATTGGCTATAATTTGGTATTTTGAACTCTCGTTGGATAGAAAACCTCCCCACTAAAAATTATCAAGATTGGTCCACGTTTTGGTATAGCCCCCATATATGGGTACCTTCCAATTTTCGGTATTTTGAGGACCTTGGGCACACTTTTCAACCAAATTGACTGTAATTTAGTATTTTTGGTTCTCGTTGGGTAACAAATCTTCCCACAAAAAATTATAAATATTGGACCAAGTTTCGTGGTAGCCTCCATATAAGGTTACCTCCCGAATTTCGATATTTAGGGATTTGGGCATGTTTTTTTCAACAGAATTGGATTGTATTTTGTTATCCCTGGCTAGCGAATCTTCCTACCAAAAATTACTAATATCGGGCCACCTTTTGGTACCCTTACCGGTCCGCCTTACCGGTACCCTTAATTTTCTTTAGTTTGTGGATTTTCGATACGTTTATCAAACGTACTGCCTGTAATTTGTTACTTTGGATTCTCATTGGATAGAAAATTTCCCTACCAAAAATTATCAAGATCAGTCATCGTTTTGGGATAGCCCTATTTTACCAGTAGCCTCTAATTTTCGATATTTTGAGAATTTCTGCTCCTTTTTTCAAACGAATTTGCTGTAATTTGATATTTTGGGTTCTCATTAGGCAGACCACCCACCTACCAAAAATTATAAAAAATGTCCCACGTATTGGTATAGCTCCCATATAACGGTACCCTCTCAATTTCAATATTTTGCGGATTTCCGATACGTTTTTCCAATAGACTTGGCTCTAATTTCATATGTTGGGTTCTCATTGGGTGCGAAATCTTCCTACCAAAAATTATCAAGATCGGTCCACGTATAGGTATAGCTCCCATATAACGGTAACCTCTAATTTTCGATATTTTGCGGATTTCCGCTACGTTTTTCAATCGAATTGGCTCTAATTTCATATATTGGGTTTTCATTAGATACAAAACCTCCCCATCAAAAATTACCAAGATCGGTTCACGGTTTGGTATGGCTCCCATATAACGGTAACCTCTATTTTTCGATATTTTAACAATTTCCACTCCGTTTTCAACCGAATTGGCTCTAATTACATATTTTGGATTATCATTGGGTGCGAAAACTTCCAACCAAAAATTATCAAGATCGGTCTACGTTTTGCTAGAGCTCCCATATAACGGTAACCTCTAATTTTCGATATTTTGCGGATTTCCGATATTTTTTCAAACGAGTTGTCTCTAATTTTTTTATGTTAGTTTCTTATTGAGTGTGAAATCTACCAAAAATTATGAATATCGGTCCATGTTTTGATAGAGTTCCCATATAAAGGTAACCTCTAATTTTCGATATTTTGAGAATTTTCGCTCCATTTTTCAACCGAATTGGCTCTAATTTGATATGTTGGGTTCTCATTGGGTGTGAAATCTTCCTACCAAAAATTACCAATATAGGTTATAAAAAGTTCGATATGACCGAACTTCACAAATTCTAAATATTCGCCGGTCCCTGATTTTTTTTTAATCCCGCAGTCCATGGTCCTTGAAAAAAATACTTCATAAAATAATATTTCAAATTATCCCTTCGATTACAGGTCGGCTGGCTGCGAGCCTCTGATCAAACGGTCTTAGCCCTCCAGGGCCGAGTGGTGACACACAATGCCCGCATTAGTGTCATGCACGAAGATATGCACACATGGAAATTGAAAATTAGTAAATTGCGGGAAAGCGATCGCGGCTGTTATATGTGTCAGATCAATACCAGTCCCATGAAGAAGCAGGTCGGATGTATAGATGTTCAAGGTAAGACTGAAGATTTTTTTCTAAATTAGAGGCACTTTTTAAATTGTTGTTCTTCCCTTCCACAGTTCCTCCAGATATTATTAACGAAGAATCATCATCCGATTTGGCCGTACAAGAGGGTGAAGATGCCACGCTGGTTTGCAAGGCAACGGGAAATCCAACACCACGCGTTACCTGGCGTCGTGAAGATGGTGAAATGATTCTGCTGCGTAAACCGGGTAGTCGGGAGCTGATGAGAGGTGAGTGGGATGTTCTTAAAGGGTTTCTCTTATCCTCCAAAAAAATGGGATCTTTCTGATCATTTGTTTCCGAACACCTAAAAGGGGAGGATCACCCTATAACCGATTGTTTAAAGAGAGTGAGAATTATTTTTTCCCTTTTCTCCTTTTAGTGGAATCATATCAAGGTCCCGCATTGAAATTGGCCCGCCTTGAAAGACGTCAAATGGGCGCCTATTTGTGTATTGCCTCCAATGATGTTCCGCCGGCGGTTAGCAAGCGGGTATCGCTCAGTGTGCAATGTAAGTTTAAAAGAAATCCAAAATTGGCGCCCAAATGCAATTTTTCTCAAAGCAATAGTCAACATCTATATTTTAACTTATTTTCCATTTAAAAAATTCCAGTCGCGCCCATGGTCCGTGCACCCAGCCAGCTATTGGGCACTCCCCTCGGCTCCGATGTCCAGCTGGAATGCCAAGTTGAGGCCTCGCCCTCACCTGTGTCATATTGGCTGAAAGGCGCTCGGACCTCTAGTGGTTTTACCAGTAACAGTGCATTGGAGACGGGACAACCAGGACCTGAAATGTTATTAGATGGGTAGGTAGACCTATTAGAATAATTTCGAACAGAAAATAATATTTCCCCTTCTCTCTCTCTCACTCTCTCTCTTTCTCATTAGACCCAAATATTCCATAACGGAAAAACGTGATGGCTATCGTGGCATTATGTTATTAACCGTGCGCTCATTTTCACCCTCCGATGTTGGTACCTATCATTGTGTGAGCACAAATTCTCTGGGTCGTGCCGAGGGTACCCTTAGGTTATATGGTAAGTGTGTGAGATCAGCTTTTGTAAAAAAGTTTCTTTGTCATTGACGCTGAGTTTTTGTTGTTGTTGCAGAAATCAAATTACATCCCGGCATCGCGACTATAAATGATGACCAGCTGAATTTTATTGGCGGTAAGTATCGTAAGTATTTCCAAAAACCAAAAAAGACCTATTTCGGAATTATTTCTTAAACTTAAAAATGTTTTCAAAATGTTGACCAAGACTATCGCAAACCTTGTGGGAGGTCTCATTTAGCGAACATTTCTAATATTTATAAGGAGAACCTCCTGCAATCTTCAGGACTATACTTCCATCGTTCTTTCGGGATATCCTATTTGTTTTTGTATTGGAATATACTTTTGGACTTTTTAAAATAAAAACCTTCTGATTTTTTTTTATAATATCCATTCCGAACTTCTTAGAAGGCACCTCGGTTCCAATGTCAGAGGTCATTGTGGTCTTCCATAAGACGATCCATTTGGTCTTCCGTAAGAAGTCCCCTCCAGTCTTTTATAAAAAGATTACTTTTCTATAAGACTTAAAAGTTTCTAAAAAAAGAAATCCTTCCGAACTTCGAAACCCAATTTTCGGAATTTTGATGACTTCCAACACACTTTTCAACCAAATTTGCTCTAATTTGATATTTTGTGTTCTCATTGGGAGGTGAATCTTTCTACTAAAATTGATTAACATTGGTCCACTTTTTATGGTAGCCCCCATTAAAGGTACCTTACGAACTTCGGGATTTTCGGCAGTTTAGGTACGTTTTTTCAACTAAATTGTCTCTAATTTGATATTTTGCGTTCTCCATAGGTGACAAATATTCATACTAAAAATTATTAATATTGATCAATTTCTTAGGGTAGGTCCCATATAAGGGTACCTTCCAAATTTCATTATTTTGGGGAGCTTGACCACGTTTTTCAACCGTATTGGCTGTATTTTGGTGTTTTGGATTATCATTGGGTGTCAAACCTTCCTACCAAAAATTACCAATATTGGTCCACTTTTTAAGGTAGCCCCCATACAAAGGTACCTTCCAAATTTTTGTATTTTGGATATGTAGGAAATACTTTTCAACATAATTGACTGTAATTTAGCATTCTGGGTTCTCCATGGGTTTCGCATATTCCTACCATAAATTATCAATTTTGGTTAATTTTTTAGGGTAGCCACCATATAAGGGCACCTTCCGAATTTCGATATTTTCGTCAGTTTGGCCACGTTTTTTTAACCAAATTGGTTGTAATTTGGCATTTTGGATTCTTAATGGATGACAAATATTCCGACCAAACATTAGCATTACTGGTACATTTTTTAGGGTAGGTCCCATAGAAGGATACCTTCCGAATTTCATTATTTTGGGGAGCTTGGCCAAGTTTTTCAACCGAATTGGCTGTAATTTGGTGTTTTGTGTTCCCATTGGATGTTAAACCTTCGTACCACAAATGATCAAAATTGGTCCACTTTTCACGTTTTGACGTACCCTCAATTCGTACGTTTTTTTACCCTCAATTTTCGGTATTTCGTAGATTTTCTACACTTTCTGTTCAATCGAATTGACTCTAATTTTATATTTTGGATTGTAATTGGGCTTCAAACCTTTCAACTAAAAATTATTTATATGGGTCCACTTTTTAGGGTAGCCCCCATATAAGGGTACCTTCAATTATTCGATATTTTGGGGAGAATGGGCTCGTTTTTCGACAAAATTGCCTCTTATTTGATATTTCAGATTATTATTGGTTAAGAAATCGCCCAACCAAAAATTATCCAAATTGGTAATTGTTTTAAGATAGACCTCATATATGGGTAACTTCCGAATTTCGGTATTTTGAGGGGCTTGAGCACGTATTTCAACCAAATTGGCTGTAATTTGGCATTTTCAGTTCTCAATGGCTGCCAAATATTCCCACCAAAAATTATCAATATTGGTTAATTTTAGAAGGTAGCTCCCATAAAAAGGTACCTTCCGAATTTCGGTATTTTGAGGATTTCAGAGATGTTTCTAAACCGATTTGGCTGAAATTTGGTATTTTGGGTTCTCATTGGGTGATAAATTTCCCAACCAAAAATTATTAATATCGATCCATGTTTAGGCATAGCCCCCCTTTAAATGTACCCTCAATTTTCGGAATTTTGTAAATTTCCGACTCTTTTTTTTTCAAACGAATTGTCTCTAACATTATATTACACGATCTTATTGGGTGCCGAATCTTTTCCCAAAAAATTATCCATCTTGGTTCACTCTTAATGGTAGCCCTCATATAAGGGCACCTTCCGAATTTCGATATTTTAGGGAGCTTGGCCACATTTTTCAAACGAATTGACTGTAATTTGATATGTTGAGTTCGCTTTGGGTCCCAAATCTTCGAACCCAAAAATTATAAAAATTGGTGTACTTTTTAGGATAGCCCTCTTATAACCGTACCTCATAATATTCGATATTTTGAAGAGATTGACCTCATCGATTAACCGAATTGACTGAAATTTGATATTTTTTGGGATTTCATTGTGTAATAAATCTCCCTATAAAAAATTACCAAAATTGTACCACCTTGAATTGTAGCCCCATATATAACTGAACCTCCGAATTTCCGATGTTTTGAAAATGTTTGACACTTTTTTTCAAACGAATTGGTGGTAATTTGATATTTTGAGTTTTCATTGGGTGGCAAATCTTTACCAAAAAAAATCTATTTTTGGTCTACTTTTTAGCATAGCCCCTCCCTCCGATTTTTGTTGTTTTCATCCAAATTGATTGTAATTTGGTATGTTGAGTTATCATTAGGTTATAAGTCTCCGCACCAAAAATTATTAATATCGATCCATGTTTAGGCATAGCCTCCCTTTAATTGTAGCCTAAATTTTCGGAATTTTGTAGATTTCCGACAGTTTTTTTTGAATCGAATTTTCTCTAATTTCATATTTTAGGTTCTCGTTGGGTTTCAAACCTTCCTACTAAAAATTATCAATATTGGTTCCCTTTAATGGTAACCCCCATATAAGGGTACCTTCCGAATTTCGGTATTGTGAGGAGTTTGACCTCGTTTTTCAACCGAATTGTCTTTAATTTGAAATTTTGGTTTCTCTTTAGGTTACTATTCATCCAACCAAAAATTAAAAATATCAATCGATCTTTCGGTATAGCTTCCCGTATTATGAACTAAACCCTTCAAGTGAAGTGTAGTTCGTGTATAACATCCGACCTGCCTATTTTCAAGTATGTCCTCAACAATGATTATCCTTGCCATGTTTTGTAAATGCTTACATTGGCCTTCTACCCTGCGGGTCGCACATATCCACTTTATATCGTATTCAATTTCTTTCAAGTTCACTCACCTATTTGTTATATCCGCTTATTATCCTAACTTCGAAGCAAAAAATATATTTTATTCAATTATACACATTTTTTTATAATTACTTACTTACATTTTCTTTCAAATATATATTTTTTTAGGTTTAGAAGAATCCCGCAATGGTGCACAAAGAACGACAGCGACAACATCGGGGAGACAAAGCATATCATGGCTACACATATTCGCACCACTGCTTGTGTTAATAACAACAACAACAACGACGACGACACATATCCTCAGCCGGTCCACACCTTTGACAACAGCAATCTTAAGATGGCTAAGTAGAGGCTTAGCCCTAAGATGATGCAAATCGGCTTTAGAATAAGAAAAACAAACACACACACACAGACACATATCTACACTCAGAGATACACAACCACACATATTCATTATACACTACATATATTACAAATGTATAATTGTATACATATAAAAATATAAAAAAATAAAAATAACAAAAAATTAAATAATAATGAAGGACATATAGAAATGTATAAGAGACACTCACACAAACATACATATATTATACAAAGAGAAACACATATACAGTCATCTAATATACATATATATTGAAAGAAGTATTAAAAGAAAGATGTTGATGCTGACTTTCTTCACTATATACTTACACACACACCCATACACAATAAGAAATACTCATGAATTATAAATATAATTTACATTAATATATTGGCAAAGAAAAAGGAAAAAACGAATATAAGAAGTATAAGATATTAATTAGAAGGCATTAATTATACTATTATATATAAATATATACATACAAACCGACATACATAAGATGTAAGCTTTATTTAATTATTTTTGTATTTATTGTTTTAGTATGTGTGAATAATACATATAAGTGTATAAGAGTTTTTTGGAATTGATTGAATATTATTTGTAAATTTTCGCAAACTGATGGGAAGGTCATAGGTAATTTTATAGACTCAAGATAGTATAAGGCCTTCTGCAAATAAAATACCGTATGTACTAAGGATCTTATACAAGATTTTATTGTGAGCTCTTCTATACATAGAACCCTTATACAAACGTCTTCTATAACTATCTGAATCTGAAATGCTTATACAGAGTTCTATAATTAGAAAACCTTATATAGGTCTTATATTAAACGTTGTGCTTATGCAGGTTTTTTGTATAGTTAAAAGATCTTATACTGGTCATCTATAATTATAAGACTTTATACAGATCTACTATAATTAGATGACCTTATACAGGTCTTCTATAATTAGATCTTATCTTCGCTTGTTAGAATACCTTATACCGGTTTTTATATATATATACAATACTTCATAAAAGTTTCTTATAAATAGGGGACCTTATACAGGTCTTAAATAGGACTAGATGATGATGACCTTATACATGTCTTCTAAAATTAGAAGACATTACAAATTTAGAAGTCCTTTTACAGATCTGCCATAATTGAAAGAACTTCTACAGGTCATCGAATGTTAGAAGACCTTATACAGGTTTTATACATATAGAAGACTTCATACATGTCTCTTATAAATATCGGACCTGTATAAATACCTTATACTGGTCTTATTTAATTAGAAGACCTTATACTGGCCTGGTTATAATACCTTACATATTTCCACTAATTAGAAGACCATATACAGGTCTACTATAGTTAAAATAATTTCTAAATGTCTTATATAGTTAGAAGAACTTATACGGGTTTTATGCATATAGAAGACTTCATACAGCTCACCCATAAATAGGGGACATTATACTAGACTATACAGAACATAGAAGATC